AACTGCAAAGAGAGCAAAACTGTTTGGAACTATTTCGCAGGCATGGTGGATGCTCCCATGCTCACGTCAAACCTCTTACTTCGCCAACATGCAATCTCATGGTGGGTAAGAGGTAACTTGAAAACTTTCAAAGGAGCACTTAAGATTATACTCCCAGGAATTATCGCATGGAAATTATGGAAAGCTCGCAACGCCTTTATTTATGATGGAAACAGATTGAGCTCACGTACAGTTATCCAACAGATTGGGAAGCTTATTCAGGCTTGGGCATGGACTCACTGACAAAAGAAATGGCTAATTCATGACAAAGACTTTGACTCTTGGGAGATTGATAAATTTTGGAGGAAAGGAAAAAAGGCTTCTTCTTCTTTCTGAGCTTTTGAATGTGTATTTTTTATCTCGAGATTGTAACTCTTTTCCTTATCAATAAAGATCTTTAATTAATATATATATATATATATATATATATATATATATATATATATATATATATATATATATATAAAGAAAATAATATTATTAAACAAAAGGAAAGTACAACCAAGAGGGGGTGGTCCAATACCCCAAACACACACACACACACAGATATATATATATATATATATTAAAGAAACCAAGTGTTCATTTCAGGATGGGAAGAAGATTATGCTACAATCAAAACATTGTTTATACCATTAATATCTCTCAAACAAACTCAAGGAAAATAGAAAGATAAGAAAATGAGGCAGGCTAGAGGGTCCAGGTTCCACTGCAACAAAAAAAACTTGATTCTCCATCTTCACTTAGATATGGCTTGGGTACATGAAAACCCGAACCTTGTTTCCCATGGATTTGGGCGGCAAGTTCGACTTGAACTTAGCTCTCACAACCCCACTGTTTCCGTGAGGCCGGCATACTTTTCCCCAGATACATCTGTAGTGGGAGTCATTCTTCTTTGTCTTAGCCTTGTAGACATAGGCCATCCTCTTTCCCAAGTACTAGCTCACTTCCTCCTTCGTGTTCACTCCCTCGATCTGAATCAATGAGGTGTTCGGGTACAGGTTCGACTTCGATCTCTTGTAGCCGAGGACAGTTCCCCTGACATAGAGCCTGATGCGCTCTCCTTGACGTCCCTTCACCATTTTTCCCCTGGAATGGAACCCTAGTTTCAGACGAAAGAGAAGACGGAAGAATGGAACCCTAATTTCAAAAGATATATATATATATATATATATAAAGAATGCTCTCTCTCTCTCTCTAGATCTCTCTTAGGCTAGGGTTACGCCGACCGCCGCTATGGCGGTCCGGCGACCATCTTCCATACATGACCACCACTCTCCCTCAACCTCCCAAAAACCGCAGCTTCTACGACATAGCTCTCAAAGGCGACTTCAAACCAGCGACAAAATTCAACAATTTGTGTGCTATGTTTGTTCGCACAATTGTGGGACGTTTCACCAAGGGCAGACCTTGCCTTATTTCAATCCGTAAGGCCTTTGAGCGAATCGCTTTTGAAAAGAATTTTACTGTAAGTTTTCTTGATGAAACTCATATCTTAATCAATTTCGAATCTGAGAACGATTTTCTGAGATGCTTGCTGCGAAAATACTGGAAGATTAATGGTTTTGTTTTAAAAGTGTTTCGCTGGACTCATGATTTTGACCCTGCCATTGATTCCCCTCTAATTCCGGTTTGGATTAGTCTTGAAGGTCTTCCAATTCATCTCTTTGACTCTCTGGCTTTGTATTCCATTGCCAATTTGATTGGTAAACCTCTGAAAACAGATGCTGCAACAGCAAGCCTGTCAAGGCCATCTGTTGCTCGTATTTGTGTCGAGGTTGATACCAGCAAAGACCTGCCCAATGGTGTCTGGATCCATCTTGGCCAACTTACATTTCATCAACCAATCATTTATGAAGATCTTCCTGAATATTGCCCCTCCTGTAAATCTTTTGGACATAAAAATTGCAAAAAGGCCACAACCTCTAGATGGGTGGTGAAGGACACAACAGGGAGTGGGAATATAGCACCTGCTGTAGCCGTCCCTCCGTTGTTGCTCCAAGCTAATTTGCAGCTGGTGGATAAGCAAGATGATGCTCTGAATCATGATGGTCCAAAAGAGGAGGAGACCACTATTATGGAAACTTGCTCCTCTGCCCAGGCCGAAACACACTTGGTACAATCTGTCCAGGTTGAAACACACTTGGAACAATCTGTCCAGGTTGAAACACACTTGGTACAATCTGTCCCAAAATCTGATGTCAATGGGTTGGAACAAATATTAGTTCATGCAGCCGAAACCACTGAATCTGAAAACGAGGAACAATCTGCTATAGATACAGTTACACATAAGGCAAGTGTTGAAGCTTTGGCAACCACCATTGATAATGGTAGGGATGCTGAGGCTCCCGCGCCAACTGACAGTGCTGAAAACAAAGGTGTGTTGGTTGAGATTGAACAACTCCAGGTTATTGAGGATGCTTTTCAGAACAACAAAAATCCTCCTAACAACGACCCTAATTTCGGGACTGAACAAAGCTGTGAGGCACACAAACTGTCCCCTAAGACAGATTTGGTGTTGAAACACGGGCGTGTCACGTTTTCGTACTAAAGCCGTGTTCGTTTCTGTAACATGTTTTGATAATGCCAAACCGCCGTGATCAAGTCAAACATTGAATATACAAGGCGAAGAAGGAAGACAAGAACAAGAGCTAAAAGACACCAAGAACAAAGACCGAAGTCCTTAGCTTTGTTGAGTCGGTCATAATTGTAATCAAGACCGACCCAACCCTCACGCATTGGCTCTTTAGGCTAAAACCTTTCATTGCATTTCCTAAATCATAAAAACGTTTTTCAAACTTGTTTAACTCATTAAAAACACTTGGTGTTCGCCCAAACCAAAAACCAAGCCATCCGGCGTTCGGGTTTCAGAAACCGGCGTTCGGCTCTCGGTTATCGGCTATGGTTTTTGGCGTCCGAACCAACCAAGTGGTTTTCAACTTTTGATGATTGGTTTTCACTCTTTGGCATGTTTAAACAGTTCTCCAACAAAAACACCTTGAAAACCATCTTTCGCTTTTGGTCGTTTGACAAAAATCATTCAAAACGGCATAAACTCGGCTAGCCGTGGTTTTCACTCAAATGACGTGGTTTTTAAAGTGTCTTACTTGATTTCTTAGCCAAATACATCAAATAAGTGTTTTAAACACTTGGTTTTTATTTTGGAGAACTTTGATTTTTTTGGTCGGTTTTTATACCGGTTGGCTAGGCCGTGGTTAAGCCAAAAACCATGGGTTCTTGACTAACCACCCACCCAGCGATGGGAAGATCTTCCCATCGATGGGTAAGCGGTCCCTTAGCCAAACCAATTTCCAGAACCATGCCAAACAGCGATGGGAAGTTCTACCCATCGCTGTTCAAGCCTTGGTGCAAAATTACCACAAGGCAGAACGACCTTGCCCAGCGATGGGAAGCCTATCCCATCGATGGGAACCCAGCGATGGTAAGGGTATACCATCGATGGGAAGGCATGACCGTTGGTGGTCATTAAAGGTTGATTCTTTCCTTGTTTGGAAGTCACCCACCCAGCGATGGGAAGCTTGTACCCATCGATGGGTAGGTGACCGTTGACTTCAAAACTGAAGGAAAATTGGCTTACCATCGATGGGTAAGTCCTAAACATCGATGGGAAGCCAATATTCTGCAGATCCCAAATCTTTTCAATCCCATAAATCAAGCCAATCACCCCTTTAATGCATTGGTCCGTTGGAGCCTTCTTTGGCACTATAAAAAGGGGTGTTTGGGTCTGCTTTTCTAACCAATTCACTTCACAATATTCATATTATCATTGCATTCAAACAACATCATTTTTCATAGCTTTCTAGAGCCAATTTGTGAAGTTTGAGTTGTTCTTGAGCGTATATAGTTTACTCAATATCTACTCTTAAGGAGAGTCTTGTTCTTGATTGTCTTAGTGTTGTATACACGTTAAGGGAAGCTTGTTTCCCTTGGTTGTACGAAGGAAAGGTATTTTCCTTCGGGTTGAAGTCTTGGAGTGTGGTATCTCCGAGCAAGGTTGTTGAGGCTCGTGGGACTCGAGTTCTCAGGTTGTAACGGTTTGTTAAGCACCCGTAAGCTTAACGGAAGTAGTGTAGCTCGAGAGAGTCTCTCGGGAGACTGGATTAGCCACACTATGTGGTGAACCAGTATAAATCTTGGTGTGCTCCCTTTACGCTTTCTACGCGCTTTACTTTTCACGTTCTTAATTTTTATTCCTGCGATTTCTACGATCAAACGCTATTCACCCCCCTCTAGCGTTGGTCACTTATTCTAACATTTGGAAGGCACACAGTATGAAGAAGAATTCCCGCCTCTCTCTAAAGAGTCTGTAATTGCTATGACGGATGATTTTCCAGCCCAAAACCAAGGTAGTGATGCACACACTCTTTCCCTCGAGAAAGAGATGGATGGCACACTATCCCCTTCAGTGATGCACACACTCTTTCCCCCATCTATAACTAACTATGCAGGTTATGACTCAACTACTATTGGACCAATTCTTGAGTCTTTTGAGGTGGATGGTGAACATTATGAAATCAGGTCCTACGTTGAAGAAGCAGAGACAAGTAATCAAAGGGAGGAGCCTAACTTCCAAGATGTCCAGAGCAGACGCAGCAAAAAAGCGGGGAAGAGGGGAACTGCACCAAGGACGATTAAAACCAGAAGCTACGATCCAAACCTTGAAGTTGGAACGGTGAGCGAGATCACTAGATATTGGCCTAGCCGCAAATCAACTACAATGGAGAAAATCGTCAATACCGAAAGTTACTCTGGGCCCTTTTGGTACGTTGGACCCGTCGGCCCAATTGGGGCAGATGGGAAAAGGCCAAAGAAAATAATGCCCAGAAACCTTGCTTTGGATCAGCACCCGGGTTTTATAATTTGGGAATGACCATCTGTTTATCTCTCGTTTCATTTCTCATTCAGTTTTCTTTTTCGTGCATTTCTAGAGGGGCATTGGCCTAGTCCTCCCCTCCCTGTACCTTTCTTTTACCTTTTTGAAATAAAATTTTCATTTATAATATATATATATATATATATATATATATATATATATATATATATATATATATATATATATATGTATGTATGTATGTATGTATGTATGTGTGTGTGTGTGTGTGTGTGTGTGTGGGGAGTCTCTAAGAGGTGCGAGAAGCTTTCCCACTTGAAGAAGCACCATTCTATTGATTTTTTTGTTCTCATTGAACCTCTGGTTATGGCTAATAAAGGTAAAACCCTAGCTTTTAAGCTGGGGTTTAATGGGTTCCTTAGTGTTGCTAATAACAAAATTTGGTTCCTTTGGGACACTAGTAGGTTTTCTTTGATTGATGTCATTGACGCTGGGCAGATTTCTCACTTCTCCCTGAGGGATATCCACAAGAGTTTTACCTTCACCATTAGTGGTATTTACGGGGGTCACACCACTAAGGACAGGAAACTTTTTTGGAGTAATATTGAATCATTCAATGCAATGTCAATCACCCTTGGTGCCTTGGGGGGGATTTCAACACCATTTCAGACTTTCTTCATCACAAGGGTTCTAGGTTGCCTGAGCTGGAGGCTATTACTGATTTTAGTGACTGCATCAGGGACAACAACCTCCTTGAATGTAATTACAAAGGATTAGCTTATAATTGGCATGGGGTCAGAAGCAATGGTAATGTATGGCGGCGTCTTGATAGAGTTTTCTACAATACCTTCTGGGCTGATCATTGGAACATAATCTCGATGCAGCATCTTGCTAAGGGTGGAAGTGATCACTGCCCTATTTTATTTCTCTCCAAACCTGATGCTAGAAACACCACCAAATCCTTCAGATTCCAAAATATGTGGTTATTAAGAGATGATTTTAGGCAGATCTGCAAGGATAGTCGAGAGGAAATTCCTTTTCATGGGGGAATGCATAGTCTCTTCAAAAGACTTCATCATCTCAAAGAGAAACTTTCTTCCTGGAATAAAACTCATTTTGGCAACATTTTTGACATGATTAAGGAGGTAGAAACTGATGCCACTAAAGCTGAGCAGCTGTTTGAGGCTGACCCTTCAATTGATAACAAAATCCTTTATAATCAGAAATTGGCGGAACTTCAGGAAGCTCATAGAAGAGAATATGCCTTTTGGAAGCAAAAATGTAACCTTAAATGGTTGAAAGATGGAGATGCCAACACAAAATTCTTTCACAGCCTGGTGAAAGAGAGGAGGAGAAAACAGCAGATTACAAGTCTCTTCAATGATCAAGGACATTTAATTGATAAGCCAGATGACCTGGAAGCCCTTGCAGTTACCCATTTCACTACTCTCTTAAATTCTTCAGAACCTTGCAGCTCGAGTGAAGTTTATTCACAGTTTCTTAGCACCATCCCTCTTCTTATAGATCACACTCAAAATGAATGTCTTATCTCTGCCCACTGAAGAGGAAATCAAAGTTACTGTCTGAGACATGGATCCTAATTCCTCTCCTGGTCCAGATGGTTTCAACATCAACTTTTTCAAGCAATGCTGGGATATTTTCAAAGACGATTTAACTTCTGCTTGCCAAGAGGTCTTCCTTGGAATTCCTCTTCCCAAGGCAGCAAGTTCATCTAATATTTGCATGCTTCCTAAAACTGATAATGCAATGAGACTCAATGATTTTAGACCAGTTTGCCTATCTACTCTGGCCTCAAAGATTGCCTCTAAATGCATTGTTAATAGGCTTGGAAAGCTCCTTCATCTAATTATTTCTGAAGAACAAGGGGCTTATGTTCCAGGAAGGGAGATTATGGACCAAATTCTTATCACTAAGGAGTTGGTTCATCACATCAATAGGAAAGCTCATGGTGGAAACCTTATCGTCAAACTTGACATCGCCAAAGCTTTTGATAAGCTTAAATGGTCATACCTGATGGACATCCTCAAGGCTTTTGGCTTCTCTCCTCAATTCATCCGCATGGTTAACAACCTACTTACCTCCTCCAAATATTCCATTTTGGTCAATGGCAAACCATGTGGATATTTTGGTCAATCAAGAGGAATCAAACAAGGAGATCCTCTCTCTCCTCTCCTCTTTATTATTGCTAATGAGGGTTTCTCTAGAAACCTTAACAAATTGTTTCTTGATGGCTTCATTGACAGGTACAATTTAGGGAGAAAGTCCATCCCTATTACCCACCTTTCCTATGCTGATGATATCATTATCTTCTCTTCGGGACATAGCCGATCTGTTTCCAACCTCAAAAGATTCCTCCACGATTACCAACTGGTCTCCGGGCAGACCATCAATTACACTAAGAGCAGCTTCATGTCCAAGCCTAACTCTTTAGCCATATCCAAGCTGGAAAGACTCCTGGGAATGTCCCATAAGAGCTATCCTTTTACTTATCTAGGTATTCCTATTGACTTGGGAATCACTAGACATATTCACTGCACCAACCTTATTTCTTCCTTCGATTCGAAATTAAATGGATGGTACCAAAAAAACTTGGATCAAGCAGGTCGTCTAGTACTTATTAATCATGTCCTTAACACTCTTCCCAACTATTTCCTGGCAACTAACACACTCCCTAAATCCATCAAACTTTTGTTGGATCACAAAATGGCCAAATTTTGGTGGGGAGGAAAGCATCATTGGAGACGTTGGAAGAAGCTTTGTACCCCCAAAGACGAAGGTGGCCTGGGTACAAGAGACTTCAATAGCTTAGAAAAAGCTTTTAGTCTTAAACTTTGGTGGAAATACCATCATGATAATGGATTATGGGCAAAGCTAATGAGAGCTAAATATTGGAGGGATGGTGAGATGCATGAAGGCCAACATTATTGATTCCCCAGTCTGGAAGAGAATCTTCAGCATTGATGAATCTACCATTGACACTTGTTCTGTCTCTGATGATGGCATGATGCACTGGAAGCTTGATCCTAGTGGCTCTTTCACCTTCAAATCAGCATATGAATTCTGTAGAGCAGGTTCAACCCCCAGGGCCTCTTTTAAATACCTTTGGGAATCCCCCCAAAACCCAAAAATCTGCATCTTCACTTGGAAACTATTCCAGCACTGTATTCCTAGTCCTGAGAATCTGCAGAAACTTGGTTTCCTCATACCTTCAATGTGTCCTTTCTGTCAAAGGGGATCTTACACTGCCAAACATTCCCTTATAGATTGCCATATGATCAAAGGGGTTTGGCATCATTTCTCAGCCTGTGTTGGAATCTTACACCAGGACTCCTCAAGTATTAACCAACACTTCATGAACTGGTGGCTTAGAGGAAACAATAACATTTATGGTTTCCTAAGAAAGCACTTGCCTGGAATCATTTCATGGAACATTTGGAAAGCTCTTAACTCACTCCTCTATGAGGACATGAACAGTTTCAATCCCTCCAAGCTTATTGATTCCATTTCTAGGTATACAAGGAACTGGCTCCAAATGAAATTGCCTAAACAACTTAGAGTCTTTGATGCTTGGCTTATAGGCACAAACTTACTGCCTAAATTCCAATCCAATCCTTCCATTCGATTGGTCAAGTGGCTAGCACCTCCTAAGGGCAGGCTCAAACTTAATGTGGATGCGTCTTTCACCCATAATGCTAAGCAAGGAGCAGCTATTCTTAGAGATGACCAGGGAAGATTCGTTGGTGCCGCCTCTTTCCAAGTTACAGGTGAATCACCCTACCAAGCTGAAGTGGATGCAGCCATCAAAGGAATAACATGGGCGCTCAAGTTTAATAAACTTCTTGTTAAGGCAGCAGCTCTGGAACGTACACAAGAACAATCAAATGAGGAAAGCATGGATGGTATGACTGCACAAAATGCTAGGTATGTAGGAAATACAATCAACTTGGATGAATTCCCGGTACTCACAAAACAGAATATTGAGGAGGATATACACATTCCAACCGAGAATATGGAGGTGGTTGTACACACTCCAACCGAGATAGAGAAGGAAGACACAACAGGGACTCCAACTCTAATCGATGAAGATACAACAAAGGAAAACACAACACCAAACAACTCAGATGTTAACCCTGCCAACATTGGACCGATCCTCCACTCTTTTGAGCATGAAGGTCAACTTTATGAAATTAGGTCTCACATTGAGGAAGGGCAAACGTCAAACCACAATGATGAAAACCACACAACTCATGAATTCCAAGAAGTCCAGAATAGAAGAAGTAAAAAAAAGCAAGCGATGCCGAGGACCATCAAAATCAGAAGCTATGATCTTAACCTCGAAGTTGGCACTATGAGCGAGATCACGAGATACTGGCCAAGTCGCAAATCTACTACTATGGAGAAAATAGTTACTACAAAAACTTATTCTGGACCCTTTTTGTACGTTGGGCATGTTGGTCCAATTGGCACTGATGGGAAAAGACCGAAGAAAATAATGCCGAGAAATCTCTCTCTCGATCAACACCCGGGGTTTATCATCTGGGAATGATCTTCTTCCTTTAGTTTTCACTCAATTTCCTTTTTTTCAATCGGTTTTTTTTCCTTTCTTGCAATTCTAGAGGGGCATTGGCCTAGTCCTCCCTTCTTTGTACTTTTCTTTTTTGCATTTTAATAAAATATCTCCTTTTAATAATTATATATATATATATATATATATATATATATATATATATATATATATATATGTATGTATGTATGTATGTATGGATATATATATATCTCCCTTATATTATAAGTGCCTAAGGGTGTTAAGTTCGATTTTTTTCCGTCTAATTTCTAACGCCTCTACTTTTCTCCGTTTCTTTCTCTTTCCAATTTCCCAGCATCTTGATAAGAGCTTCTTCACTGCCTACCGCCCACCGCCCCATGATAAGAGCTTCTTCACTGCCTACCTCTTATATTTTCGTTCTCCGGTGTTCCGATATGTCTTTGTTCTTCAATTTCCAGGTATGTCGTTGTTTGTTCGTGCTTCCTCGTATCTCTGCTTTTCTATTTTTGATAGTTCAATTTCACAGATTTTTAGAAGCTGGCATTTCAACATTTTGGAATTGGCTGAAATTTCAAGGAATTCCAAACTTCGGAAGTTTCTAGGCGCATTTTTTTTGAAATTGAGTCAATTTTTTATACACCTTTTCTAATTTAGGAAAGACTTGGTAAAGGAGAGGGGATCAAATCCTCCAAATCCCCACAAACAGATTGTATGCGGTGCATGTTTGTGAAAACTATTTTATCCCATAAAAATGATTTGAAGGATTTGAAGTCCTTAGAAGGTAATTTAGAATGCACTTGATCGCATTTGGGGCCCAAATCATGGGTATAAGTAATCTATTTGTTGAGTTGTATTGCAGCTAAAAATATTGTTTTTTTTTACAAAACCGAGGTTCATGGTATTGTTTATAGTATTTAGATGTATGAATTTGTTAGATAAAAGGGGTTTGCTTCAACATATGTTATACCCAAGTAATACTTAGGGCTTGTTGATACATATTTTATGGAATTTTGGTAGTAAGATATCATGTTCTGTATATCACAGTGGCACTTCGATCATAGACATCTGCAGACGTCATCTAAAGAGTGATCAAAGTAGGTAAAGTCATCATGCATGCAACTATAATCCGTTGTTTCTAAACATGTTGGAAGGAATGAGCAAGTAGGTAAAATCATACATCTATTAATCCATTTGTACGACTGTACGCTGTGTTCTGTTTATGTAACACCCTAATCCGTCCAGGTCTGCAGCCCCTTTCGGACTAAAGTATTAACTTGGTAATCGTAAAATTTAAAACTTTTCAAACACTTTTATTTATCATAAACAGTACAGAGTTTTCAATATTGCAGAAGCTTAACAAATCATAACCACAAACATAATTTATTTATATTCTTTAATTCAAAACAATCACATCCATTCCGACTATCTCGCCTCCGTCTGCCTCTAGGATCACGTCACATCATTCTATTGACCTGCGTGTAGCAAATAAAACACACTACACGCTCAGCGGTAAAGCTGAGTAAGCATATCTAATGCGTCGAACATCCATATAATTAAATTGAATCTCAATTCATAATCAATTCATTTGATATCATGCACATAATATTCAGTTCAGATATTCAATAATCAATATTTAATTTTCACATTTATTATTCATCCATTCAACATGTATATTTAACATTCATATTTATTCATCATCCACATAGAATATTCATTATTTGTCATTCAACAATATCCTTAACTATTCTAGTCTAAGGCCAATCTAATTGACATTTACCAACTCTTAAACTATTTCTAGTTCAAGGTACTTCTAACCAACTCTTAAGCTAGGTCATTAGTTTAAGGTACATATTCCGATTGATTTACCAACTCTTAAACTAGCCTTCGCTTAAGGTACAAATCCAGGAAACCGCACAGTAGAATACTAACTGTCGGGTTGGGTGGTATCCCCAAACGAGTTCCTCTAGTTTGGTTTATGGATCCCGTACGTACGTTTTAACCCAGGCTACCGAATACTCATGATTATACCCGCAAGACCTACTTCTAAACTATCTTAGAGGTCTTCTAGATAGTCTTAGAAACCAAAGTCAACCTAGGTATATCTTAGAGTTCTTCTAGATATCCTTACAATCCAAATCATTTCATAATCATCAACATATTCATTTCAATTCATAATTTAATCCTTGATAATCATTTTAATCAGAGGTTTCCTCAAGCCATAATCATCATAGTAATCATTCATCATAATCATCAATCAACATAACATTCGATAGCAAATAGCGGCCTAGCTTCGAGTGTTAACACCCGAACTTACTGTCATGCATCACATAAAGTCTTTGTATTAATCAAAACATCATTTTTATTTCCAGAAATCACGTTTATATTAATTATAACTGATTGGTATTAAAAATAGGATTAAAGGGTCCATAATTCGGATTTTCTGGAAAATATTAGGTTCTGGACGGTACCCGGTACGTGTTAGAATAATAGACCAACGCTAGAGGGGGGGTGAATAGCGTTTGATCAAGAAATCGCAGGAATAAAAAATGAATAAACGAGAAGTAAAGATGCACACGGATTTTACCCCGGTTCACCACAACTTGTGGCTAATCCAGCCTCCCGAGAGACTCTCTCGAGCTACACTACTATCTTGTTAAGCTTATCGGTGCTTAACAAACCCGTACAACTTGAGAGTTCGAGTCACACGAACCTCAACGAACCTTCGAAGGAAACAACCCTTCCTTCGAACAAGAAGAGAAATACCTTCTCTTGTCAAGTGTCTAAGAACACTAAAAAAACACTCAAGAACAATACTCTCTTTTAGAGTGGATAATGAGTAAACTAAGAACGCTCAAGACCACAACACAAGCTTCACAAAAAATGGCTCTCAAAAGCTATGAAAATTGAAGAATGATTTGCAATGAAAGAGTAGGAGTTGTGAAGTAATGTGATATGTAAAACAGACCCAAACACCCCATTTTATAGTAGACAAAAAAGGCTCCAACGGACCAAAGTATTTAAGGGGTGATTGGCACAATTTGTGGGATTTGATAAAATTTGGATCTGCTGAAAATCACCCAGACAGCGCTGTCCTAGGCCTGGACATCGCTGTTCTAGGCTTGTGGTTTGAAAAATGGGAAGCAACGGTCATGCCAACAGCGATGTCTAAAATCCCTACATCGCTGTTTTGGCTGTTGACTTCCAAACAAGGAAAGTTTTAGCCTTAAATTCCTTCCAACGGTCAGGTCTCTACATCGATGTTCTATACTAGAACATCGCTGTTTAGGTCTGCCTTTGAAGATGGAAGTTTGGCCTGACAGCGCTGTTGCTGGGTCAACATCGCTGTCCAAAAACTTTCTGCCAATGCACTATATTTTTGGCTTAGGTTGGACAGCGCTGTAGGGAAGCCTACATCGCTGTTCCAAAAGTTTCTGGAAATCCAACCTTGGCTCAACAGCGATGTCTGGTGTCCAACATCGCTGTTGGAAGACTTAACGCCAAACCATGTTTTTAGCTACCCAGGCCAGACAGCGCTGTTGATTACCTCAACATCATTGTTGGGCTAGTTTAGCCAGACCCATGTGATGTACCCAAGCTTAGGAAAAGCTATGGATAAATAAGGGCAGATTATAGAGAGGAATATATGGTGAAGAATAGGTTGGATTTGTGTATGAAATGGTGAAGAAAATATGGTTGTTTGGAAGAGGTGATAGGGCAGAATAAAGGGCAGGAGAAAAGCAATATTATGGAGTGGTTTTTGATGAAGAAATGAAGTGTTTAAATGGGAGAAAGGAGATGGACGAAATTAGGAAAGAAAAGGGAGTTCTTTTGTGGTTTTTATTGTAGAGGGATAAACCAAATAATAAATAAGAGATAAACACACTCTTATTTTATTTGGGGCTATTTCTTTTCACACAATAATATTCACTATTATTATATGAAATAGACTCCTAACACACACTCAAAAGTAGCCAACTTCAGAGATATTTAATTAGAAAATTGAGAGAATTAGCTTCACACCAACTCAAATATTACTTCAAAGAGTAAGGAAATGAAATACAATGAAATGCATTTTACAAGGCCATAGGGCCGAAATATATAGGGAAAAACAGCAAGGAAACTTCACCACTCTTTCCTACAATTCAAGTGCATAATGCCCATTTGATGGATCCCATAGGTTGTCCTCATTGATCAAGGCTAAAAGGGTTCATGGTGGTGAAAATGGGCTGTCTTTGGGTGGGAAATTCGGCCATGTGAAGGGTAGGGTGAGGGAGTGTGTCCTTTTGTCCATTTATGCAAAATAAGTTATGTGACACATCAAGGGATTGATTGTTTATTCCTTTGGCCTTATTATAGGTGTGAGAAATGATTTGGGGGGATGTTTGGGGGGAGGAATTCGGCCATGGGACAAAGGGATGTGTGGGGGGATGGTTTTGAATGATTTTCACACCAAGACAAAAGACATGTTTAATCCTTGTCTTCTGATTTGGTCTTTTGTGTTTTGTAATGGATTGGGATGGATGGGGATGAATTCTAAGGCCAAAAGGGGATGTATTTTCGTGGGTTTGAAGTAGGAAAAGGTGGGGGAAGGTTTTATTCAAAGTAGGGAATATTAGGAAAGAAAACAACACACACAAAGCAATTTTGTTTGTCCTTGTCTCTTGGATTTTCGGCCATGGCTCCAAAGGGAGGTGAAGGACTTTATTTTGGTTAATAAAGGCAAATTAAATACTTTTGGATATGTGGGAGTGTGTTGGGCTTGTAGGCATTTCGGCCTAGGTTGGGTTTTGGGAGAGAAGTGTCATGGTTCGGGCTTTAATGTGGGACGGGTCAATGAGTTCAACCCAAAATGGATCATAACACCTAGACATTAAACACTTGACTTGTTGTAATACTAGTGGCGTGTGTGAAGGTGCATCCCGGGGTATATCACCATGGTTGGTTTAGTCACGCCGTTAGCCGATGTCAAAAACGCAAGTTCTCCAAAATAAAAACCAAGTTTAGAAAACATTTTTTTATTGCATTTTGCTAAGAAATCAAGTAAAACATCTTGAAAACCACGTCATTTAGTTGAAAACCACGGCTAGCCAAGTTCGCGCCGTTTCGCATGGTTTTCACTAAACGACCAAAAACGGAAGGTGGTTTTTGAGGCGTTTTTGTTGGAGAACTAATTAAATGTGCCCAGTAGTAAAAACCAGTCATAAAAAGTTGAAAACCACTTGGTTGGTTCGGGCGCCAAAAACGAATGCCGAAAACCGAGAGCCGAACGCCGGTTTCTGAAAACCGAACGCCGGATGGCTTGGTTTTTGGTCTGGGCAAACTCCAAGTGTTTTTGGGTAGATTAAAACTTATGAAAAACATTTTTGAGTTTGTAAAAAGAGTTTTGATGAAATGAGCCTAGAGAGCCAAGTTTTGAAAGTTTGTGCCGGTCTTGATCACATTAAGACCGACTCAATACAAATCTAATTCTTCGTTCTTGATTCTGGATTCTTGGTTCTCAAAATATCATGCCATGTTCCTTCGCATTGGTATTTGTTCCCTTTAGCCTTGTTATGTCACGGCGGTTTGGCATTATCAAAACCTGGGGTAAATTTCACAAATGGTACCTGAACTTTAGCTGAAATTTCGAAGTGGTACCTGAACTTCAAATCCTTTCACAAAAATCCCTGAACTTACACAATCCTTTCACTAATGAGCCATTAGCCCGTTTCTAGGTTAACTTCCGGTCATTAGGGCCAAATTCGAATTTTATATATTTTAAAATTTTCAATTTGACCCCATTTCTTC